ATATATCAAGGCAAACGACAAAGGCACACAAGTAAGTTTATTAAGTGCAAGTAACACAAAAACTTTACAAAAAAGAGTTGTATTATTTGCAATCATAGCTTCACTAAAATATTATGCAAAATATTTATTCTTTTCTTCGGTTTATATTATTACAGCAACTGTTTACTGATTTTAGCAAGTCTTTCGTTTTTAATAAACACCTCGTATTTACTTGTATGAAGTGGAAAAAGATGAGTATATTTTCTTCCACAGTGGTACTTCGACAGAATTTGGCGTAGTGCCGTGTTTTGACAAAATTGTATCAAACATGTCGATGTAGTACCAATGTACTTTTGAGATTAAAAATGTACCAAAAAAGTACAATTGAACCATCAATTTCCTCACTGATGTACATATGTAACACACGCAGTGATGCCGCTTTGGTTTTTTACCGAAATTGGTAATTTTTTCTTAATTTATCATATTTGGTAATTTGGTAACTTACTTTTCAACTTGGTAACTTTTTCGATTCAGTCCTACATGTAACATAGGTCAAAACAAGTTCTGGTTCCACATTAGGAAGTGAGCCGTAAGCATTTCCTTTAGCAGAAATACCAGGTAATCCTGAAAGTTTCGCAAGGCGAACAGCTCTTCAGCGTTCCTAGGTTACTATTATTGTGTGATTTACAACAAACTGATTAATAGTGGCTATTGTTATATCTACCGATTACTTTTCCAGAAGGTTGTGAATGGTCCTACCTTTCCTTGACAGTTCGTTAGCTTTGCAATTGCTATCAACATTCCGGCGTAACCCAGCAACCAAATGAGTAGAATTCTATGTAAAGATGTATGTACGTTCAAAAGGCTACGGCATTCAGTAGGGGACTTCCCTTTGTCTATGTCTGAGTCGAAAACTTTCAGGATTGCTTTCAAGCATTGAATTTTTTAGATATTTTCGGCCACTTTTTGACATATGCATTTGTGTATATTGATCATAACTGGACAAATGTGGATTTTAAAGTGCTCCGAAATTTTTGTTTAGTTTAAAATAGGTTTGGTAATTTTTTGTTGAATTTGGTAACTTTTTCTAGTAATTTAGTGTAAAAAATAAAAAAATTTGAACTGAACACATGTACGTAAAATATAGCCAGCTAAAAGTCTACACTACATTGCTTATGCATTTGACAGACTTTTCGTTCATTATCTGACAGTCAGTTACGGCAGCTTATACACATTATAGTCAGCCCTAAAGTATCACCGTTATTTTTTATGCCTTGGTTTGTATACAATATTGCTGCAACTTTATCCGTGCTCAATCTGGTCCTCAAGTCAGTTCTACACATTTCTAATCTACTAAATATACGTTCTACTGAAGCATTAGAGAAAGGGCTATATTAGTAATCCAGATATTCTTTTTTTTAATTGGGAAACTTATATGAACCTGAAGAATCTTTTAATTCAAAAACTTTTCCTATAATTTTCTGGATCTAATGAGGAATCAATATGAATATCCTTATGATCGAACAATGCGTGTTCTCTGTTGAAAATACTTATGTATTTAAATATGTATTTGTATTTGTATATGTGCATATAAAATGCACTCATAAGCTTATTATACTTTATTTACCAGCTTCGCATAATTGTAATACTTATAAGCATATTCTTGATACATTAAACGGTCAGTCCACTCATAAACCTCAAACCGTCGTGTTCTTTATTCTCTCTCTACATGGTAGCAGAGCAAGGTTACTGCTGTAGTGTCGGGTGTCGGAATTAAATAAATAAAATAAAAATCAAAAGTGCAAAATCTGCTGTAATAATAAAAATAAAATAACGCTTCAATTAAAATGGAAAAGGGTTTTGAAGTAGAGAAACTCAAAGGCCAGGAAAATTTCCACAACTGGTGTTTCGCAATAAAAAATATATTAGCATTCAAAGGTCTGCATAAGTGTATAACCGATCCTGTCACAGAAACAAACGCTGAGAAATTAACTAATTGCAAAGCCCTGTTAGCTCTAAGCGTAGCGCCATCGCTGTACGTTCACATATCCAGATGTGAAACAGCGCTAGAAATATGGCAGAAACTAAAAAATCTGTATGAGGACAAAGGCTTAACAAGAAAAATTGGGTTATTAAGAGGCCTGATCTCTTGCAGATTAGAAGACTGCGAGAACATGCAATCATACATTGATAGAATTAAAGATAATTCTAATAAATTAAATGAAATTGGTTTTGAGATAAATGAGGATTGGCTGACGGCGATAGTATTGGCTGGTTTAACTGATGCATATAAACCATTTATAATGGGAATTGAAGCATCAGACTCACAAATAAAATCAGAAACAATAATCGCTAAACTGTTGGACTCTGATACCAACACAACCACAAAAAGTGATGCATTTCTTAGTAAAAAAAGGTACGAAAATAAGCAAAAATACTTACAAAAGAAAAAATGCACAACTTGTGGAAAGAAACATGCAGGGGAATGTCACTACAAGAAAAATAATGCACAAAATGGCACAGCAAAAAATGCATTCACAGCGTTATTAACGAAAAGAAATAACGACGACTGGTATCTAGACAGTGGTGCATCGTCTCATATGACACCAAACGATAATTTGCTCACTAGCAAAAAAAATTCACTCGTTGACAAAATAATGTCAGCAAATGGAACAGCTATGACAGTAAGTTGCGTTGGCAAAACATCACTGAATATCAACGGGCAAGAAATTGTAGTTAACGAAATTCTACACGTGCCCGATTTATCAGTAAACCTTCTGTCAGCTGCAAAAATAGTGAGTCAGGGGAATGTAATAAAATTCGATGCAACAGGCTGTACAATACTTAACAAAAACAAAGAAGTAATTGTACAGTGCAAAGCGGAAAATGGTGTTTACAAACTGAAGGGAATCCAAGCAAAATGCTTGTTATCAAAACAAACAAATAACAACGCAATGCTATGGCACAGGCGACTTGGACACATAAATTTTCAAAGTTTAAAGAAAATGCGTGACGGCGCTGTTTCTGGTATTGATTTCAATGACGACGATCATGAAATAAAAAATTGTCAGATATGTCCCAAAGGCAAACAAACAAGAATTCCGTTTAAACAAAGTAACTCAAAAACAACAAAGCTACTCGAACTAATACATTCTGATCTATGTGGACCTATGGAAACGCCATCTATAGGACACGCCAAATATGTATTAACATTCATAGATGATTTCTCCCGAAAATTATTCGTTTACTTTCTCAAGTCAAAATCAGAAGTTTTCAATAACTTTAAAAATTTCAAAACATACATTGAACGCCAAACTGGATCTAAAATCAAAACAATACGGACGGACAATGGTGGTGAATATTGTTCAACTGAATTCGACAAATACTGTAAAGAGAATGGTATCAAGCATCAATTAAGTAATGCATATACTCCTCAGCAGAATGGAATTGCCGAAAGAATGAACCGAAGCTTAATTGAAAAAGCTAAATGTCTCCTGTTTGATGCAAATCTTCAAAAATGTTATTGGGCAGAAGCAACGAATATGGCAGCCTACTTAATCAACAAAAGTATTTGTTCGTCGCATGGAAAAATTCCTGATGAAATATTCTATAAAAAAAAAATAGACATATCTAACCTGAAATTGTTTGGTTGTGAAGCAATGGTTCACATAAACAAAGAAAAACGTAAAAAATGGGATCCTAAATCCAAGAAAATGTTTTTCGTGGGCTATGATGACGACATTAAAGGTTTTCGCTGTATTGATCCAATAACAAAGAAACTGGTTATAAGTCGAGATGTAATATTCTACGAAAAACCTCAACCAAAGTCGACCTTAAAAATCTATAACGACGAAGTGAGGGAAATAAAGAGAAGCGATGAAGACACATTTGAAGAAGTTAGCATAAAACCTGATGAATCGAACGAAGACGTACAAAGTGTTGCGGAAGATGACACCATGATAGAATCACCGAATCAAACCCAAAATGATCCAGATTATGTTCCTGAACAAAGTATTGATGAATCTGAAGAAGAAAGAAGAGTCACACGATCTAAAGCTAAGGTATCTGTACCATCTTTTCAATTTAATGCTTTTGCATTTCTTTCACAGCCATTAACAGTATCAGAAGCTATAAACGGTGAAAAAGCGAAAGAATGGGAAGATGCAATGAATGAAGAAATGGAATCACATAGATCAAATAACACCTGGTCGTTGATGAAACTACCAGATGGAAGAAAGCCTATAAAAGCAAAATGGGTCTTTAAAGTAAAACAAGATGAGGTCGGTAAAGCTGTAAAGTATAAAGCACGACTTGTTGCAAAAGGCTGTGCACAAAAATACGGCATCGATTATAATGAAACATTCTCGCCGGTGGTTAGATACACATCAATAAGGTTTTTAGTGGCTTTAGCAGTAAAAAACGGCTATAAAATCCATCAAATGGATGTAGTGACTGCGTTTCTTCAAGGTGATCTTAAAGAAACAATATACATGGAACAACCAGAAGGTTACAATGATGGCACTAACAAGGTATGTAAGCTAAACAAAGCTGTTTACGGACTGAAACAAGCCGGAAGACAGTGGAACTTAAAGCTCGATTCAGCATTAAAAGAATTCGGGTTACAAAGGTGTAAAACTGATCCATGCATTTACTATGATAAAGAATTGAATCTGATAATTGCAATATACGTCGATGATTTCCTTATACTCTACAAAGGTAGTAATAACCTAGAAAAACTAATGCAGTACCTTAACAAAAAATTCAAAATGAAAGATTTGGGATCTGCTCAAAGTTGTCTTGGAATACGTATCACGCAGAGCAAAAATTGCGACGAAATTACACTAGATCAATCGTCATATATAAATGAAATTCTTGAACGTTTTGGTATGCAGGATTGTAAGCCAGTGGGCACACCATGTGA